ATATATATCAATAAAGTAAATAATTGTGTAATATATCTTATATCTTATATGTGTTTTTAACAGTTCAATACTTTTCTTAAGATTCTCCGCACGCACACTATAGTTTAATACCTGGGACAACATCAGTAAAGATTCCACTTTTATCTTTACGGCTTCTCGAATCTGCACAATCCTGACCGGGGTCAGTCGAGTCGAGGCAAACTATGGAATTCGTTGGAAGGGTGCGCTTACCCGGCTGGTAGGGCTGCGACGTCTGAGGGCCCTGCGGGAAGCTTGGCATGCCCTGTGCTGTCGGGAACCGCTGCTGTTGTCCCTGCTGCGGCGGCCCAAAGTGATTGGCCGAGGAGTAAGCTGGCGGCATGGCGTACTGTGGTGGCGTCTGATGCTGTGACGTGCCAACGTTCTGTGGGGAGAGAAAGAGCAGAAAAGTCACACAACTGCAGACATGTCCCTGGGGGGGGGGGGGCGTTGGTGGTGGCAGAAGATGCCTACACTTGCAGGTGTTGTTAATAAATGTGAAAGAGGGAAAAACATACCTACGCTTGCAGGTGTGGTAAGTAAATTCAAAAGATGCAGAACACACCTACACTTACAGGTAGTGTATGTAAACGTGAAAGAGGCCAAACATACATACACATTGTAAATAAATACGAAAGACGCAAAATATACTTACGCTTGCAGGCATTGTAAATAAATGTGAAAGAGGCAAAACATACCTACGCTTGCAGGCATTGTAAATAAATGTGAAAGAGGGAAAATATACCTACGCTTGCAGGCATTGTAAATAAATGTGAAAAAGGCAAAACATACATACACTGGCGGGCATTGTAAATAAATGTGAAAGAGGCAAAATATACCTACGCTTGCAGGCATTGTAAATAAATGTGAGAGGGAAAATATACCTACGCTTGCAGGCATTGTAAATAAATGCGAAAAAGGCAAAACATACCTACGCAGGCATTGTAAATAAATGCGAAAGAGGCAAAATCTACCTACACATGCAGACATTGTAAGTAAATGTAAACCATGTGTACTTGGATTTGCAGGCATTGTAAATGCGAGAGGAAAAACATACCTGGAACGCGAAAGGGGCAGCAGACACCTAGGTACAAGCGACCCAACACTTGCCAGGATCAGAAGTAGACACGAAAACAACTTTCGGACAAAGCACGTCAACGCAGATAACAGGGGCGACGTTACGCTGCATCTTAGCATACTTACGAATGGAAAGACTAGAAGACTAGAAAGAATAGAAGCCGAGCAGCCCAGCTCGATATCGAGGCCAGCATATTGGTTTTACGGAGAGAGCTTAACTGAAAATTTTCCAGGTGAGAAGCCATCGAAATGAAACTGCGCCAAAACCGGAGGAAATTAATACACATTATTATTAACGGCAAATGATTAACCAGTCGTTCGCACCTGCGTAAATAATATAGTGCTCCAACCCAGATTTCATTAAGTAGGAAATGTCAAGTTAGGAATCCGCAAAATTGCCAATCGGCAGCAGGTGCGCAATATGTCGATAGAAACTGGCGTCGCATCGTCTGCTCTCGGGGGTTGCTGGTGGATGCTGCTAGACGCCTGCCAAACACAGCGGAAGGTGGGCCGAGTAGATCGCCCCTGACACACCCTACTCTCACACAACTCTTGAGAGTTGTAACACTCTCCCCCACCCCCCCCTGCACACACCACCTCCCAAAACCTACTCCCAATCGAATATAAACAGAGCCTATAACGTTGGTGATTTCACAGCTCGTCTCTGCCAGGGAACTGCCAGCTGACATGCGTATGTCGGCTCAGCATGACGCCTCCGCGCACATCCGTTATATTAATCATCTCAGGTAAATCACCGCTCGCGCACGCTACGCAGCCGAACACACTCGACGTTGTTTTCATGTGTGCGACGTACGTTTTTCGGCGTTTTTCGGACATTTTTCGACGCCGTCCGAGAGAGGAGGGGGGGCAACGTACCGAGTAGGGCTCCGAGTCGAGGCCGGGCAGTCCCGACGTGTCAGCCTCGCTCTTCACGTGCCCCATCTCGTTGCCGGGGTTATGCTCCTCCGTCTTCAGCAGCTTCTTCAGCTCCTACAAAACAAAACAAAAAAATCATCGTCAAAAAGCCGTCGTTACATCTATCCGTATCCAGCCGTTTCCGTGCGCTACGCGTAGTACGTAAGTCGGCATGAATGAATTACTTTTCCTGATATTGTACTGTATTTACTCGTGTATAAGTCGCACTTTTCTTTTACGCGACTTCGATAACAAAAATCCGGGGTGCGACTTACACACGAGGCTAAGAAATCTTGTTAACGTACCGATGTTTGTAGCAACCTTTTAAGGCAACATATGGGATGCGACTTATACACGAATACGACTTAGTATACACGAGTAGATACAGTACCCAGGCAATTTGGAGTTAACAGTCATCAGGTTACATGCACACACGTGCACTAACCTACACGCACGCACGCACGCACGCACGCACACACACGCATGCACGCAAGCAGGCACCCACGCACGCACGCACGCACACACACACACACACACACACACCCACCTACCCACACCTACACGCGTACCTGCAGCAGGTCCTGCCGGGAGCTAGACGTGCTTTGCGGCGCCTGGTCGACGTTCATCTCCTGCTGCAGCTGCAGTACCTCGGCGACGATCTGCTGCAGCAGCACGTCACCCGACGAGTCCGGCACCTCCGACACGACCCAGTCCATCTCCATCGGCTTGTTGCTCTGGTCGGGTGTCGCGACCGTCGCCGCCGCCCCGCCGTCGCGCCGCCCCGCCGCGGACCCTCCGTTGTTTTCGAGCAGCTTCTCCATGAGCGCCGAACACGGCTGCTGCTGCTGCTGCTGCTGCGCCACGCCGCCGTACCCGGTCGGCGACGGATGCGGCACGCCGGGCTGCCGCGAGGGGGCGCCGCCGGCCGCCGCCGCGTCGGCGCGGAGTGTCGACGACGTTACCGCGCCCGGATGCGTCGTCGTCGTCGGCTGCTGCGTCGAGCCGGGCGACGCCGGGGGCTGCGCTCCTCCTCCTGCTCCGCCGCCCGCCGCCGCCTGCTGCTGCCCGCCGGCCGGCGTCGTCTGCTGCAGCTTCTGGCGGAGATCCTTGGGCAGCTTGCTGTGCGGGAGGTCGGTCGGACGCGGCGCGGCGATCGTCGTCGCGACGCTCGGCAGCTGCTTGTACGGCTGCGAGAGCAGCTTCGTCAGGATCTGATTCTTCTGCAGCACCTTGCTCGGCGGCACCTTCCCGGCCGTCGGCTGCGCCTCGCTGCCTCCTCCGCCCGTCAGGCAGTCGGACTTGCGCTTGACGCCGTGCTGCTCGCCGTGGTGGCCCGGGTTGTTGTTGTCGGGGTGTGGCTGCGGGTCGCCGACGAGCAGAGAGTTGAGGAACGACGACTCGCCGTCCGGCAGCGATGACGACGACGTCGATGCGGACTGCCGCCTGCCCGGCTGGGGCGCCGAGTCGCTGTCGGCCTGCGCCTGCTCGAAGAAACGACGACCGTCAAAATATGAAGACAGAAAAACATGAAACAAGGGAAACCGGAAGACAGGAAACTAGGAAAAATGCGAGTTTGTCGCCCGAGGAAAAACAATCGAACGTCGGAACGCAAGAGCTTTGGTGATGGGGGGGGGGGAACGCCTGGAACGAGGTGAACACGGGGGAAAGATGTCGTATGGAAGGTTTTGCACACTCCGCTCCGATTCATTAGCCTTAACTTAGTGATGTTTCTGACGACGGACCCCAGGCACATAGTACCACTTTCCACTCATACTTCCATGCATAGCTACGTTGAAATCGAAGACGGCTACATCCCTTGTAATTGGTACAATAACCTACAGGTGGCAAACCACGCACACACGCACGCACGCACGCACGCACACACACCACGCACACACGCACGCACACACACCATGTACAGCCACGGAGACGAAGAAAAGCGGCGGGGAAGGACAGAAACTAGCTTACCTACTACTTACGGTAATCAAAGTATTTACGGTACTTCGGTACCGAAATCGCGCACGAGCAAGAAACATGAGAGAGCTTCGACTGTCGACCGTATAAGAGCCACTTCGACACTGGAATGCGCGCTCGCAAGCTTGCGTGCGCGAGACACCTTGACAGTGGAATGCGCACTCTCATAAGCGTGCGTGCGCGAGACACAGAAACAGTGGAATGTGCGCACGTGCATGATGCAATCGCAAGCGCCACGTACCTTGGAGTTGACTGGGTTTCCAGCGCTCAGCGGCTCGTTAATGAGCTGACTCAGCAGCATCTCGTAGGGCTTCGGCTCCTCATCTTCCTCCGTTTTCTCGCTGAGTAGTTGCTGCAACGGAAACGAGGGGTGCGCACGTTATGAAGATGATATGGCGTCGAGCGTGCGACCGCTGCTGCTGCTGCTGCTGCCGCTGTTGCTGCTGCTGTTTCTGCTGCTGCTGCCACTGCTACTGCTGTTGCTGCTGCTGCTACTGCCGCCGCCGCCGCCGCTGCCGCTGCCGCTGCTGCTACTGTTTCTGCTACTGCTACTGCTGCTACTACTGCTTCTGCTACTGCTACTGCTGCTACTGCCGCCGCCGCCGCCGTCACTGCTGCTGCTGCTGCTGCTACTGCTACTGCTGCTGCTGCTGCTGGTGCTTCTATTGCTGCTTCTGCTGCTGCTGCTACTGCTGCTGCCGCACAACGGTGGCGTGCGCGTCGTCGTCGTGGATACTCGCCTAAAACTTATTTATTATATAAACAATTTTACCTACCATTTATTTAAACACCTATTTTATATATTATCATATTAGTACAATTAATTTAATTACTTTAAATATTAATTTACTTGATTTAATTATAATGTGCAGCGCCAGCATCACGGTGATTATTACCGCCATCGCAGCTTATTCGCATCCTTGGATAATAAGCCACCGCCCCGGGCACCCACTCAACGACCACGATTCTGCATTCGGTTTCAAGGAAGTGCAGCAGCTGCTATGCGAAATTCGAATGCGGAACTCGAAAAACAAAAACTTACGAAAAGGCGATCGAAAACGGAATGGCAAAGCTAAAAGAAGATGCGGGGAACGAGTTTAAGGAAGAACCCCACTCCACCCTGACGAGAAGCAGAGACTGCTACACCCCTTCACGTCCGACGAATTTCTGCAACAGCTCTGCGAAATGCTCAGCGAAACAACTAAACTAAAAACTCGGTGCACATTTGCCAACGCGTGTTGCCGACGACGGCGCAAGGTGCGCAACCAGACTAACCAACGATGCCCTGGACGTTTGAACGTTCCACATTGTAAGGCACCCGCTCCAGAACAAATTTACGCATCCCCCCCCACCCGCATGCTCCCATCGTAATTTGGAGATTCTTTAGAGCAGTGGTTCTTAACCGTTTTTGAGTCATGGACCCCTTTGAGAATCTGGTGAAAACTACGGACCCCTCCCCAGAAAAATGCAGATAAGCACATAAACACAATAATTTGTATGTGCCTGAAGCCCATCCACAGACCCCAACGGGGGCAATGGACCACAGGTTAAGAACCCCTGCTTTAGAGAGACTTTCCAGGAACAAACGCAATATCAGTAAATTTTTCCAGGTCGCTCCGAGATGGACAAAACGACATTTTGCAATTTCTGTGGCCTCTTGTCAGAAACAAACCCAGTCTTAACATCGATCTTAAAATGAACTTGTTCTCGCGGACCATCGACAGAACCATGGCAAGGCCACAAGAGCCTTCCACGCAGCATGCAACATAGGTGAGGTTCACGGGAACAAGTTAACGCCCAAGACCAATTTGGTTTTCTAACGACGCACCGCAAGGATCGCAAAAGCCTCTTTACCTCATCTTGGAAGCATCTCGGAATGAAAGTGTCAATGACACTGTAGCTCACCACAAATAACGTTTTTATAATATTCAGATTTATGCACTGCCTAAAAGCGGAGCTCCCGATGTGTAACGTGTAAGATTGAGAGGATACGCTTATTCCACGTAGCCCACATGACAATGGTGTTTCCCTGCCCATAACACAACTTTTGTCAAAGGTAATGGTTGCATGGAAATGTTTACTTCGTATGAGTTTTTTCTAGGCGGTAGCACACGGTTGCCATCTGTATAATCGCAATAATAATTTATAAACAAATGAATCACAATTTGTGACAGTAGATGGCGCTATACCGCTTTGTAGCGATGGCATTCGAATAAATAGGTTATGCTGCGTTCCGACATGTTTTGTAAAACTTTACTCTAATATAGACGTTTTATCGCAGGGTGGAGAGGAAATACCAATTTTGCATTAAAGATATTGTCAATGAAATCTTGTAAAACGAACAGACGAGGTGACACCACAGACTGTTTGTTATCTGCGTTTATTTGGCATAAATTGCATAACCTACTTAATTTGCATAATTTTTTTTTTCAAATATCAAAACCCCTACCCTTATTCATTCACATACCAAAAATAGGCAAAATCGCGCTGAATCTGAACTGATTAATGGCAATTCCCATTTTTGGCCAAAAATTGCGTGGCTCCGAAAGTATCGTCGACTGGCGTGCTCCAAATAGGACGTTCATATGGGAGCATAGCAGTAACAACTATACCCAATTTCAAACATGTGGGTAAAACAGTTCCCGAGTTATGCGTTTGACTCGTAGGCCAAAATGTTGACGAGGACGGACGGACCGGCGACACCACTGGCAATAGCTCAGCTTGACGATGTAACAGGTGAGCTAAAAATAGCAGCTGTAATTGTATTTAGTCCTGGAATGTCTCTCGGAGAGCGTGAATGACAGAGGTGGCGACGTCTTGACGTGCTACACGCAAAGATGCGACAGAACTTTGCCCTTTCTCAGGACGACGCTGACCGTGAGGGGCACCAGGCCCCCCCCCCCAGCACGCACGTGCATGGCGCGCTCACACACCTTCAACGATTTCAATGATGGGAACCAGGTCCCTCCTACCCCCGGCGCACGCGTGTGTGACGCGCATACTTACATTCAATGATTTCAACGATGGGGACCGGGTCCCCCCCTCCCCCCGGGGAGCGCGTGTGTGGCACGCTCATTCACCTTCAACGATTTCAATGATGGGGACCGGGTAGCACCCTCCACCCAGCACGCGTGTGAGTGACGCGCTCACTCACCTTCAGTTATTTCCGTGATGTCCCCCCTCCCCCGGCATGCGCGTGCGTGTCATGCACACTCACATTCGACGATTTCCATGATCGGGACCGGGTCCCCCCTCCCCCGGCGCGTGCGCGTTCGTGGATGCACTCACTCAACATTCGCGATTTCCGTGATGGGGACCGGGTCCCCCCTCCCCCGGCGCGCGCGCGTGCGTGCGTGACGCGCACACTCACCTTCAGCAGCGGATTGCTGTTCATCTTCTTGTCGGAGTCGTCTCCGCACAGGCTCGCGCTCGTGCTCGCGCGACTCGCCGGACGACTCGACGGCCGTGAGTGATCCTGCCCCGGAAGCCTCCCGCTTCTCCGCCCCTCCTCCTCCTCCTCCGTCGACGTTCATCCCTCCGCCGCCGCCGCCACCCTCGTCGTCGTCCTGGTTCAGCAGCTCCTTCAGGATCGTGTTGTGCGGGTTCTGCTTCCCGCCTGCCCCGCCGGGCCTCCTCCGCCGCCGCCGCCGCCGCCGCCGACACCCTTCGGCGGGCTCGTCAACTTCTTCCCGCGCGTTGTTGTTGTAGGCGGCGCCACCGTCCTTTTGCGGTCTCGTTGTTATTGTTGTTCGCGTACATCTGCATACAGCGCTGCTCTGCTCGCTAGAGTTCTGAGGCCACCTGCTGGCCGCCGCCGCGCCCGGCCGCCGTCGACACAGGGGCGACATCATTGCGTCGCGCGGACTCCGACCGCGGCCGCCGAGGTCGCGGCCCGCCGTCGCGCGCCCCGTCGCCGCAGCGCCGCAGGGGCGCCGCTGGGCCCGCCGCCGTCCGCATAGTTCGCGGGGACTGTGAGGAAGTTGAGATCAAAAGTCAAGTCGTCAGGGCCGAACTCGCCAACCGGGCGCTGGCGCCCCCTGTCTCCAATCGGCGTCGTCGAGTGCGCGCTGGCGGCGCGCCGCGCCGCGTCGTCGTTCATCTGTCGTCGCTGCCGCTTGCCGCGAACGCGCCCCAGCTCGAGCTGTGCGAGAGAAAGTCGCCGGATGCCACCTGGCGGGGCTGCTGCGCGCCATGCCGTGGTCGCGCTGTTCACCACGTCGCCGCTGTTCTCGGCAGCTTGGAAGGCAGCGCGCCTCTTCTGGAGGCTCAGCGCGACGTCATTGTCCCTGCGAGCAGCGAGGGCGAGAATTGAGCGAGATTTGAGGCGAGACTCAGTACGCCCTCTAGTGATTAAATTCACAGACGCTTCGTGCTTCTACGCTCATGTCCCCCCCGCTTATACCCGTGAACACTACTAAGTATTAACCCACGATTCACGATGACATGAAACTAAATTTTAAGTCACGATGAATCCATTCATACAGAATTCAACTGTTAGCAGCAGTTTTTATAACTGGTCAAGTTGTCTCTGTTAATCTGAATGAGTGTATCTTACAGTTAGCACTGTTAAGCTGAATGAGTGTGTCTTACAGCTAGCACAGTTAAGCTGAATGAGTGTATCTTACAGTTAGCACTGTTAATCTGAATGAGTGTATCTTACAGTTAGCACTGTTAAGCTGAATGAGTGTGTATTACAGTTAGCTCTGTTAAGCTGAATGAGTGTCTTACAGTTAGCACTGTTAAGCTGAATGAGTGTGTATTACAGCTAGCTCTGTTAAGCTGAATGAGTGTGTCTTACAGCTAGCTCTGTAAAGCTGAATGAGTGTGTCTTATAGCTACAGCTGTAAAACTGAATGAGTGTGTCTACAGTTAGGCATTGTAAAGTGAATGAGTGTCTTACAGCTAGCACTGTAAAGGCTGAATGAGTGTGTCTTACAGTTAGCATTGTAAAGCTGAATGAGTGTCTTTACAGCTAGCACTGTAAAGTGATGAGTGGTCTTACAGTTAGCATTGTAATAATGAGTGTGTATTACAGCTAGCACAGTTTAAGCTGAATGAGTGTATCTTTATAGCTAGCTCTGTTAAGCTGAATGAGTGTGTATTACAGTTAGCTCTGTTAAGCTGAATGAGTGTGTCTTACAGCTAGCTCTGTAAAGCTGAAATGAGTGTGTCTTGCAGCCAACTTTGTAAAGCTAGTGCGTTAGCAGCTAGAATGAGTGTGTCTCACAGCTAGCCCTATAAAGCTAGTGTGTTAGCAGCTAGAACGAGTGTGTCTCACAGCTAGCCCTATAAAGCTAGTGTGTTAGCAGCTAGAACGAGTGTGTCTCACAAGCTAGCCCTAATAAAGCTAGTGTGTTAACAGCTAGAATGAGTGTGTCTCACGCAGCTAGCCCTATAATACTAGTGTGTTAGCAGCTAGAACGAGTGTGCTCACAGCTAGCCCTATAAAGCTAGTGTGTTAGCAGCCTAGAACGAGTGTGTCCCACAGCTAGCCCTATAAAGCTAGTGTGTTAGCAGCTAGAACGAGCGTTGTCTTACAGCTAAGCCCTATAAAGCTAGTGTGTTAGCAGGCTAGACGTAGCGTTTCGTACAGCTAGCGCCTATAAAGCTAGTGTGTTAACAGCTAGAAAACGAGCGTTTCTCACAGCTAGCCCTATAATACTAGTGTGTTAGCAGCTAGAACGAGTGTGTCTCACAGCTGGCCCTATAAAGCTAGTGTGTTAGCAGCTAGAACAAGTGTGTCTCACAGCTAGCCCTATAATACTAGTGTGTTAACAGCTAGAACAAGTGTGGTCCTCACAGCTGGCCTTATTAATACTAGTGTGTTTAGCAGCTAGAAGGAGTGTGTCTCACGAGCCTGCGCCTATAATACTAGTGTGTTAGCAGCTAGAACGAGTGTGTCTCACAGGCTAGCGCTATAAAAGCTAGTGTGTTAGCAGCTAGAACGAGTGTGTCTTTACAGCTAGCCCTATAAAGCTAGTGTGTTAACAGCTAGAAACGAGCGTTTCTCACAGCTAGCCCTATAATACTAGTGTGTTAGCAGCTAGAACGAGTGTGTCTCACAGCTAGCCCTATAAATACTAGCGGTGTTACAGCGCTAGAACGAGTGTGTCTCACAGCTAGCGCGCTATAAAAGCTAGTGTGTTAGCAGCTAAAACGAGTGTGGTCTCACAGCTGGCCTTATAATACTAGTGTGTTAGCAGCTAGAACGAGTGTGTCTCACAGCTGGCCCTATAATACTAGTGTGTTAGCAGCTAGAACGAGTGTGTCTCAGCAGCTAGCCGCTATAAGCTAGTGTGTTAGCAGCTAGAACGAGTGTGTCTTACAGCTAGCCCTATAATACTAGTGTGTTAGCAGCTAGAACGAGTGTGTCTCACAGCTGGTCGCCTATAATACTAGCGTGTTAGCAGCTAGAAGGAGTTGTCCTCACAGCTGGCCCTATAATACTAGTGTGTTAGCCAGCTAGAACGAGTGTGTCTCACAGCTAGCCCTATAAAGCTAGTGTGGTTAGCAGCTAGAACGAGTGTGTCTTACAGCTAGCCCTATAAAGCTAGTTGTGTAACAGCTAGAACAAGTGTGTTCTCACAGCTAGCCCTATAATACTAGTGTGTTAGCAGCTAGAACGAGTGTGTCTCACAGCTGGCCCTAGTATAATACTAGTGTGTTAGCAGCTAGAACGAGTGTGTCTCACAGCTAGCCCTATAATACTAGTGTGTTAGCAGCTAGAACGAGTGTGTCTCACAGCTGGCGCTTATAATACTAGTGTGTTACAGCTAGAAGGAGTGTGTCTCACAGCTAGCCCTATAAAGCTAGTGTGTTAGCCAGCTAGAACGAGTGTGTCTCCACAGCTTAGCCCTATAATACTAGTTGTGTTAGCAGCTAGAACGAGTGTGTCTCACAGCTAGCCCTATAAAGCTAGTGTGTTAGCAGCTAGAACGAGTGTGTCTTACAGCTAGCCCTAATAATACTCAGCGTGTTAGCAGCTAGAACGAGTGTGTCTCACAGCTGGTCCTAATAAAGCTAGTGTGTTAGCAGTAGAAACGAGTGTGTCTTACAGCTAGCCCTATAATACTAGCGTGTTAGAGCTAGAACGAGTGTGTCTCACAGGCTAGCCCTATAAAGCTAGTGTGTTAGGCAGCTAGGAACGAGTGTGTCTTACAGCTAGCCCTTATAATACTAGTGTGTTAGCAGCTAGAACGAGTGTGTCGCACAGCTGGCTCGCCTCGCTTCTCACCTGATGATCGAGTGGGTAGAGATGATGAACTCTGGCTCGACGTTCACCTGGCTGGAGAACAGCTTGCTCGTCGTCTGCACAAAACACGTACTTGTCCTCGGCGATGCGAATCGATACAGACCGCTGATGCTCTTGCCTGTCCGTCTCACTGCGAAAGCGAAAAAAGTGGCGAAAAGATCAGCTACGCTCAGAACTACCAACAATTCATGGGTAACTTTCAATGACACGTGGTCAATATTGGCGCGAAGATCAGCTACGCTCAGAACTACTAACGATTCATGAGTAATCTCTAACGACACGTGGTCACAGGTAACTTCCAAGGACACGTGGTCAATATAGGCATGAAGATCAGCTTAAAGCTTCCAAGAAAGCATAACTTCTAACGACATGTGGTCACAGATAACTTCTAACGACATGTGGTCACACATAACTTCCGACGACACGTGGTCACAGGTAACTTCTAATGACACGTGGTCACAGTAACTTCGCAATGACACGTGGCCACAGGTAACTTCTAATGACACGTGGTCACATGTAAGCTTCTAAACGACAACGTGGTCACATGTAACTTCTAACGACACGTGTCACAGGTAACTTCTAACAACACGTGGTCACAGGTAACTTCTAACGAACACGTGGTCCAGCAGGTAACTTCTAATGGACACGTGGTCACAGGTAACGTCTAACGACACGTGGTCACATGTAACTTCTAACGACACGTGGTCACAGGTAACTTCTAACGACACGTGGTCACAGGTAACTTCTAATGACACGTGGTCACAGGTAACTTCCGACGACACGTGGTCACAGGTAACTTCTAATGACACGTGGTCACAGGTAACTTCTAATGACACGTGGTCACAGGTAACTTCCAACGACACGTGATCACAGGTAACTTCTAACGACACGTGATCATATGTAACTTCTTAAGACACGTGATCACAGGTAAATTCTAATGACACGTGATCACAGGTAATTTCCAACGATGCATGGTCAATATAGGAGCGAAGATCAGCTCAAAGCTTCCAAGATCGCATAACTTCTAACGACACGTGGTCACAGGTAACTTCTAACAACATGCGGTCACAGGTAACTTCTAACGAAGAGCCGTCACACGTAACTTCTCAAGACACGCAGTAACACGCAAATTTCATGACGACATGTCACTCCATGCAACTTCTAGCAACGTGTGCCTTCAACTGCAGTCACAGACTATAATGCAAGTCGAGCAGTCAGACTGCAGGAGTATACACATTGTCCCTGCGAGGAAGACACGTTATGTACGAAATGAACGCAGATCACCTATCAGGCTATCACCATTTGCAGGCGGGAATATGAGAGCTTCTAAGGTGCTGAGTCACTCGAATACATTGCAGATAAATAGGCTGACACATCTAGGTAGTGATTTTCCTCACACAATATGTCACTTCAGACGAGCCAATTGTTTTACGTATTTGCGACCTGCACACAACTGCACGACGGACATCTGCACATCGCGTGACTATACGCGTCTCCCGCACCTGCCTCCGCATCCTGTCATCCTCCGCCCGCGCCCGCTAGCGACCCCTACCTTCCTGCCGATGCTGCAGGAGTCTCGGCACGTCGCTGATGTGGTAGAAGTCCTGTATCTGGCGGCCGACTAGGTCTTTGATCAAATACTGGTTGGACGTGACTTTCGTGGCGTCGAGCGCGAGTATCTTGCCGCTCGTGTCCTGCTGCGTCGTGAACTGCTCGACGCCGAGAGGGCCCGTCAGCTCGATCTTCTGCTCGTTGGGAGGGATCTTGCGCGCGACGCACACCAGACTCGCAGATTCCTCTGTGAGAGATGTAAACATAACAGTAAGCACACAGAGAGAAAGGGAAAGAGAGAGAGGAAAGGGAGGATAGAAGGAAGGACAGGATAGAAGGAAGGAGAGAGGGGAGGGAGGGAGGGAGGGGAGGGAGGGAGAGAGGGAGAGAGAGAGTCTGGGAGAGAGAGGGAGGGAGAGAGAGGGAAGGAAGGAGGGAGAAAGAGAGGGATCTCGCGTTCAACACACACCAGACTCACGGGCCCCTCTGTCGTGAAGTAAAAATAAGCATGGTTACAGATATACAAAGAAGTGAAGGAGGGGGAAGCAAGGGTGTACGCAGGCTAGCACTAGCAATAATACACCCGGCAATGCTTGATACGACACTAGCACTAACAATAAAGGTAATTAATATTGCAGCAACGGTATTCACACTGCGCGCAATATTTGCCAATATTGCTCCTCCCTCTCTCATTATTTCGCACGTCGCATCTCGCATTAACATTTAAATCCTTTCATCGTGCATCGATTCATCACCCAAAACGAAAGCGAGCTCCGTGGCAATATCAGTTCGGTTTTGGGAAATTTATTCATTGCGAACAAATGCGGCGATCGTACCTCATTAGTGCATTACTAGCCAGCAACATGTAAAAAAGGCAAACTGAGGTACGCAGGCAGCGTGGCACGAGCGGCTGTATAGCCGTCGAGGATAACTGAAACTCACCTGAGCCTAGTGACTCCTCGTCTGACTTGTCGCCTGAGTAAGGGAGGGGCACGGCAGAAATCTGCATGCTTTCGTACTGTGGTGAGACTTGTCGGTGCTGAAGTTCCATTCCTGCAGAAAAACACACACAGACGCGCACATATTTATTATCACTATCGTTACTTACGCTTAGTGCAAAAACCAAAAAACAGTAAGAGTAGGAGAAATATTTGTGCATCCGAGAGCCGTTTCCACTTGTTATTTTACGCTTAAACGATGCTCTAAGAAAAAGAGGAAATCAACTGCAACGAGTTCGTAAAAACACGGAAGACTGAGATTATACACACAAATTGCAAGTGTTATGTTAGCCGGACAACCTTTTATCCCAGCAAAATGGCACCGACACGATTCTCTCATTAAATGGCAAAATGAGTGATCATCTGATAGTTTACATAGTCCTTAGTCTAAAACTTTAGCTACAACTTCTAATGCTGTAAAATGTTAGAGACACCATCAGACTTCTGTTCAGTTTCTTACCTGTGTTCTGATACCACCCTTGTAATAGTGCTTAACTGTGTTCTCACTCCACCCCTCTAATAGTGCTTACCTGTGTTCTCATCCCACCCCACTAATCGTGCTTACCTGTGTTCTCATCCCACTGTACTGTATACTCCACTGCTCTAATTGTGTTTACCTGTGTTCTCATCCCACCCCTCTAATTGTGCTTACCTGTGTTCTCATCCCACCCCTCTAATTGTGCTTACCTATATTCTCATCCCACCCCTCCAATTTTGCTCTCATCCCACCCTTCCAATTATGCTTACCTGTGTTCTCATACCACCCCTCTAATCGTGCTTACCTGTGTTCTCATCCCACCCCTCTAATCATGCTTACCTGTGCTTTAATCCCACCCCTCTAATCATGCTTACCTGTGTTCTCATCCCACCCCTCTAATCGTGCTTACCTGTGTTCTCATCCCACCCCTCTAATCGTGCTTACCTGTGTTCTCATCCCACCCCACTAATCGTGCTTACCTGTGTTCTCATCCCTGCCCCTTCCATCTAATTTGAGTAGCAATCGACAGTTAAAGGACCGACTCTTGCTGTTGCTGTTCTCCGAGGAGAGCCAGTTCACTTCCTTGTCTGCTGAACACAGAAATCATGTTAACGATCGAAGACACCACAACACCAGCTTCAATCGTGAAATTACGAATTTGGAAAAATAGAGACATTTAGTCATTTAATAAAAAAACAAGCACCTTGCGACTTCTTGTTTTACCATTGGTAATGCTAAGAAATTCAGTGTTTCCCCTGTAAAAATTGTTACTGGCCACAAAGGTCAGCGAGGTGGTAAAATTTATTTTGGTTGTTGCGCTATCCGAGGAGCAAGCAATGCGGGGTAGGGGGTTCAGGGGCATGCACCCCCGCAAATAAAAAAAAAGTTCAATTTGGTGCATTCTAAGCTATTCTGAACACATTATTTATATGAGACTCTTGAATCATTTGTTCAAGTTGTCAAAAGGAACAAATAAACTATGAATATGAAATGATACAAGTATTCACATTAAATAGTAATACCATCGGAAACGAGGCAAATGCCTGGAGCGTGGCAAAGATCTTGAAGCTTCCGGTTATATTTATCTTCTGTGTATCAATGATCTTATGAATTTGAAGTTCATAAATTTGAAAAATACATAATTCAACCAAAGATTTAAAAAAACATTATTAGTTAATTATTTTTACATGCTCTCATTTGCGTTAATAACGCTTAACAGCATGAAATGCGATTTTATTTCAACAAAAGCACTTTCCTGGTGTAGAATACACAACAAACACCCATGCGTATGTATGCATCTAGGTATAGCGCCCTTAATTTGCTGCTGGAGTCAACATGGCGCCTGTGGTGCTCAAGTACGTGACCAATCATCTTCCAAACCTGTGTTGATCTAATACTATAGGCCTTGCCAAGATTCGCGTGTTGACAGTATCGTAAGTACGCGGCGTTGTGCTTTACGTTTGAAGCTTTATTTCGATTTGAACTCAATAAGTGTTTATTGATGGAAGAACAGTGATTTTCGTCATCGAGGCGGTGTTTTGGACAAATCTCTGTGTGGCGGATGAGAATTTGAGCGAGGCGGCCCGCCTCGCTTATGTCAATGCAGGAGAAACACTGAAATTCCTCACGTCAAATGCCATTTCCGTAAAGATTGGCAGCACACCACAATGTTTTCACCATAGTCAATTAGAACCAATACCGCACGCACGCTTCCCCCCCCCCCCACCAAACTTGTACACTCATCTAAACTACAAGGCATTTAAATATCCCAAGAGACCGTACATATTAAAAATAAAATCTACGTCGCGATGGGAACACCAACGCCGGCAAACTACAATGGTCGCACAGCGGGTGTGACATCAATGAACTTACTTATTGACAGTTGAATCAAACTGCTGTTAAAGAGGTTGTGGTCATCATGATGAACGATGCTGTATACACTGTTCCCAAGTAAGTCATCCTGAAAGTAACGCAACAAATCGTGCACTCGGTGAGCATCATCTAGAACAGCCGAGCATCTACAACGTGCATTGATGCAGCTTCGTTCGCAACTGTGAACTGCGTCACAATGCTGTTTCTCAATGAGACAGCTCACCCTATCTATCACACTGATTCTACGTCTGCCGTCAACCCGTACGGACACGATCATTGGACATGTCGAATAATGTCTCTGATGTGGTCCGTACCTATAGCTGTAGACAAAGACACGCAAGTACAAGTACACAAGTATAGTGTGGTACTACCATGATACTAACATTTAACAGTACAGCAGCGTGTGTGTGTGTGTGCGCGTGCGTGCGTGCGCGAGAGAGAGAGAGAGAGAGAGAGAGAGAGAGAGAGAGAGAGAGAGAGAGA